AGCAGTACATTATTTGGATTGCTCCGTATCCTGTCCGTTCGCAAGCTCCGTATCCGATCCGATTGCGAATCATAACCAAACGGATCCGTTTGTCAATCAAATGTTTTATTGAGTTCGCAAACGGATCCGTTTGATCATGATTCGCAGTCGGATCGGATACGGAGCTCGCGAACGGACAGGATACGGATCAATCCGAATAATGTACTGCTATTTACTGAAAACGGTTCGCGTGCGGTCCGTATGCGGTTCCTATTTCAACCGCGCGCGAACGCGACCGTTCGCATTTTACCTGTGCACAGTCAGAGAGCATCATAAACTACAAACTCTTTTTAAGTTTCCTATCACGTGTTTTTGACGTTAAAATAAATAGGACTCACTTCTCAACAAAGTATACCGTAAAACCTGCAGTAGAAGAGCCGGCCTTTTTACAGATCCAAGGCACCTCTGGAGGTCCATTATATTAAAGGGTCTCTTCTATTAAAGGAACCCTTGAATTAAATGGTCCTTTCTAATACAGATTTTACGGTAGCTTCTGTCGTTTTCTTACAGCTCCACTAAAACCCGCAACTTTGATTTTCCGTTTATCACTGTTCCACCAAAAAGTTCTAACTCTTGTTCATATATTATCTTTGAAGATTAATCGTTCTTGACAATAATCAAAAGTCAAGTAGTTCGCTTTCTGTCAACATACAGCGCCTCGGGTCTTTGTTTGCATTTCAAATAAAGAAAAGACAACGTGAGCAAAAAGGTTTTCTCTCGTTAACTCTGATTTTTCCCTTCCTCACCTGATGTTTATTGGCACGGGGGCGAATGTATATCGCGTATGCCAAGGGTATCAGAGCAAACGAGAATAGTTTCAGCATTGTCGTCGTACTGAAAATACAAAAAATATAATATAAACTGTTGAACGTATTTGAAAATCACCTGAAGACGTCATCCCAAGATCGTAAATCCCTCAAAATGTATCCGGCTTGAACGCAAATGAAATTGTACGGCGCCAGACCTGAACGGAATGAAATAAAATTTGAATTGAGTGGTGTGAAATGAGACGGAAACGGGATATGTTTGTGGGTGGACAAAAAACAAAAAATGACGGGAGAGACTTACCAAAAAGTGCCGAAACGACGAAGATTGGAAGAGGAATGTTGAGGAACGGTGCGACGATGTTGAGAAGCCAAGACGGCGAAATTGGGAACATTCGAGCAAATAAAAGGAATGGTAGTAATCGGTTCGAATTGTCGTCGATCTGAATTTCAATATTTTAGTAAGAGGAAAATGAGTAAAGCTTACTTTTTGTTGAAGATATGTTAGTTTCTGTCCAAAGTAGTAGAAGACATATTCCCTTCCGAACAGTTCAGAGAAAAGATAACACAGTGTACTCCCAACTGAAATAAAGTTTATTCTGTGATTGGAATTTTAATCAATCTGGCAAAGTTTGAGAGTTTGAATTTTGAGCAGGCCAAAGTAAAAAAAAAGAAACCAAGGCTGTGCCACGCCACGGCCGACAGATGCAGTCCGATGCCGGCTTTGACTAGAGCCACGGCTTCAGAACACAATATCGAATAGCCGCGACTGGCTTTCATTTTGCACAGCTTTGATTCAAACTTATGAAACCATGGAGCTCCAAAACTTACGTGTTGTGAGACAACAGCAAAGGATGAATCCCGACCACAGATCGTAGACAACTCCCGCGATCACATTCTGCAAGAAATAGTTTTATCCATTGTTTCTTTCCATTTTCCCTTTCAAAAACGAAATCGTTCAGGATAAATCATACGATTTCTTTTTTCTTTCCTTTTTGCTTTTTCTTTTTTCTGTGTACGCATTTATCTACGATCCGCTAGAATGTGTGACGTGATAAGAAAGTGATGAGAATACCCGGTCGGAATCAAGTTTATCCGCCCTCCGTGCCATCATCAACAGAAAAAGATGAAGCTGAGAGAAGGGAAAGACAAAACGCAACACGACACCGTGATTACAGTCGGAAGCTGCTGATGACAACACCATAGCCAACTGATTACGTAACAGTGTGATTCAGATTCTACATTCCAATACAAAAAATATACTTACCAAAAGAAATGATCCTGGGATAGCAAAAGTCTGTTTGTAGAGATACGCACAGATGAAAAGTGTGGTTATATACCCAAAGTGATCTTCTTTATATGCTCGAAATTTGTCAGCTAACACTGTGAAGTTGTCGAATTGCTTCGGAATTTCGAACACTCCTCCTTCTGAAAAAAAGTTATTTTAAGAATGGACAAATTTTTAGTTAGTGACCTAGTTGTGCCGACCATCTAGAGAGTAGTGATAGTTTCCACTACTAGGTCAGAAAAAAGACATACCTGACTCTGGCCAGCCTGGTGCGGAGCATATCATGTACCATAGGGATAAGGATGAGATGCCAAATATGGCAGGGAGTATGAAGAGTCGTGTCATAGGAGATGTCGCTGTGTATGGAACGTTCGATCTCTTCTCCCACGCGTTTTTGCGTTGCGAAGGGAGGAGAATATAGATGAGAAGGCGTTGACTTGAATACGAAGGTTGAGGTATGTGTGATCAGATCAAGAGGATAAGTTGGAGGGCATCTGACGCAGCCGATCGAAGAAATGTTTCTGAAAAACGAAGCCATTGTGATGTGTAAGGGCACCGAGTGAGAAATATATGAGATATTGAGAGATTCAGAGAAGGGGCTTCTCCCTCTAAACAGGAATATGGTGTGGTGGCATAGAGACGAACCGAAGAATAAGAATAAGAAAAGCGAGGGCGACATAATTGGGCGCCGTAGGAGGAGGATTCTAACGGTTTGGCAATATTCAAAAAGAGTGAAAATTGGATTGGTTGTCGAGAAAAAAGAAACACTCATATGAAGTGTGGAATTGATTGAAATCGGACGTTCGGAAGTCTGAAAATATAGTGGACAGTATACAAATAATTTTCTGGTCAGACTCTTATCTGGTTTTTTTTGTAGGTGAAAAAAAGATTGTAGGTGAATGAAACTTTTGTGTTCGTAGATTATACTCGAAAAAAATGTACTTCTTCTAGGGAAAAATAACGATTCCGGAAAGAAATAAATGTTTGTAGGTGTGGTCTAACAATAAAAAACGCATTGAAATGTACCAAATGACCATCATGAATAAAATAAATCTACTCGGAAAATGGGTTGACCTTATTAATGGGAAGAAAAATGGGAACAGAAATAAATAGGAGTTCAAAAATGACAATGATGCTGTCATGTTTATAAACAAGAATTTCCAGAAAACAAAACCGTTATCAACAAGAAATCATTGGACACTGTTGTCCTTCTGTAGGAGTGACAACTGATGCAAAATGCCCATCGATTTATATTATGAAACTACTCATCATTAATATCAGAGAAATAATTTCAAGTTCTAACATTTTCTAACAAAACTATGACAAGTATCTACTCGTGCTCCTTTTTCCGTCTTTTCCATGTCAACCATTTCTGAATAAACCACACTTTTCGTACGCTACAACCTGACACAGTTTCAGTCGGAAACGGAATTTTCATTGTTTTTAAGAGTAACCTCCGAGCTTGAAGATAACAAAAGGTTTTTTTGATAAGCGATTGTATTATTCACACCTTTTCTACAAATTTTTCTCTGAACTTTAAGAATTGAGGAGTAATTTTTAAAAAAACCATAATCAACCTTTCCCCTCCAATAGAATAGAAAATGTGTAATGAATTAGCAGGAAAAAGTTTTTGTGTAAACTGATGTAGTAGCATGAGGATCCGACAAGAGATATGCAGAAAAAATGAGAGAGAAAGTGTAAAGAACAGGGGTTGGAGAAGCAATTTGATAAGCTATCAAGAACAGTCTATCACCTGGAAAAAGGAGGAAACATTGATAATGAGATTACGAATGGAATCAAGAAAAAAAAATACAGGAAGAGGTCATTGAGAGTGAATTAATGAAGAAAAAGAGACAAAGTAAGAGGAGAGAAATAGTAATAAAAAGAAAGACAACCAGAAAGAGCTACAGCGAATTTATCACTCACTTTTACGAGTCACAATCAAATCGTTTCGTGATCACACACATACACACAACAGGAAACACGGGTGTCTTCATAGAGAGCACAAATTAGTTTCAGAATTTCGAAATTCTAAAAATGGTACAACTTTTTTTCAAACCAAAAAGAGAAGTATGTATTATAGTGTTCAGTTACAGATTGCACTGTACGGCCGAACAAACAAAAAAAGAGGGTAAGGGAAAATGAGTCATAAGCTGGGGAGTCCAGTGTGGTCATTTTTAGCAGGATATTCAGTTATTTCAGGTTTTTCAGATTTTGAGGCATCACTTATTTGAAAAATCAGAGCCTGGCCCAGCCCAGAGAGACTAGGTTTCTTTCAAGTTTGTTTATATAATAATTTTTTACCCCGAAAATTTCTTTGAAAGTACAGGAAAAATATATTGAAAATTCTGCCCCAAACGGGCCGAGAGCCTGGCCCGACCCATTGCAAGTATGCTAATTATCACGTCATTTGTTTCCATACACATGTGCTTGCCACCTAAATGTTTTGAATTCTATGGAAACTAGAATAGTTTTCAGAGTACGATAAGAGAAATAAGTCACAGGTTGATAAAAGTATGGAACAAAAATTTCAAAGTGTGACAACTTTTTTTCGTTTCTGCTTCTGATTCTTTTTTGATGCTGTTTCTGTTACTTCTATTATTTTCGGTTGGATGACTTTTCAAATTTCTAGAATTAGTAGGACGGATGTTGTATGTTGGAATAGAAGATGTTAATCGGAGTGTTTCGACGAGAATTGGACTGTAAAACTTCTAATAGTACGTCCCTCAAATCGTCCACTTTGAGCCCATTTATTTCATTTTCCGTATAAGTTGTTTCTGACAAAATTTTTATTATAACGCCCAGAATATTTTGTTAGTTGATAACTATTTGATATCTCTTATAGGAACCGAGATAAATTGGCTTAAAGTTGACGGTCTAGGAGCGTTTCATTAGAGAGTTTATGGGCTGTAAATTACGGTATCTCCAAAGTAATTTTACGAAAAACCGAAAAATTGGAAAGCTTAGAAGAAGGATTCTCAACCTGAGCGAAAAGTTCCTCAATCAAAGCAGGTAGAAATTCAGTGAAGAAAAGAGAAAGTGTATAATTAGAGTAAGTAGGATACGGAAGAAATCGGAAAATGATAGATGATGGATGCCAATTTCGGATGGAAATGATTGCGTAATCGAAAGAGAAAAGGGGGATATACTCGATAATGAAAAATAAGTTAATTGATTGAATGAGAGTGAGTATCCTTCCTCTTCATCTGAACGTCTTCTCCGTCATTCATTTCAGTTTCTTAGTTGTTTTGGTTTTAGGAGAAAACGAAGCAGAAGCCTGTGGATTGAAAAAGGGCCGTGAGGGAGATGAGATCTGACGGATAGGGACAAAACCGAACTGGATTCGGAAGAAAGTGGGGGTGGCCCTCCCTGACGACGAAGATATTGGAAGGAAAAAGAAAGAAGAAGACGAAGGAGAGAGAGAGAGAGAGAGAGAGAGAGAGAGAGAGAGAGAGAGAGAGAGAGAGAGAGAGAGAAAGAGAGAGAGAGAGAGCCTCTCGAGGAGTTGAACTTGTGGGACGAGTATTGAAGGTGCGGCGCCGCGACCGACTGAGCCAGAGAGAGATGAATGTCTTACGGCCAATCGTCTTTGAATCGGGATTGATAGCCGGTAGAAGCATCATCACAAAAAAGTGAAATAGAAAGTGAGGAGGATACCACAAAGAAGAAGAAAAAGGCGTACATAAAAGATAGCTATTATTGATAGCTTCTTAGCATTGTAAGCTGCTATTTAGCTTATCCACCTTTCTGTCCTCATTTTCAAAACCGAAATTCTTTGACCGTATTTAAAATTTTCTAGTCATGCATTGAAAGAAACCAAAAATTGAAACACTTAATGGGTCTGCTTCATCGTTTATCCTATAGAATCCTTCTTCCGAGAAACCCGATATAGAGAGAGATGAATGGCTTACGGCCAATCGTTTTTGAATCGGGATTGATAGCCGGTAGAAGCATCATCACAAAAAAGTGAAATAGAAAGTGAGGAGGATTTATGGATGACCACAAAGAAGAAGAAAAAGAAGAAGCATAGAAACAAGAAGAAGAAGAAACCATGGATTTCGCGCAATGGTGCAGAAGTTACAAACTGGATGACAAATAAAAAAATGTCTATGAGAATGTGACTTGCGATATTCTCTGTCAAGAGTATTCTTTTGAATGTGTCATAATTTTTTGAAACTGTACGATTTGAAATTTGAAAACGAAAAATATCGTTTTTATAAAAATTTAAAGGTGAGGACATGAAAAAAAAAACTGTCTTGAAATTTTGTTCATATAAGCCTCTCGAGGAGTTGAACTATGGGACGAGTATTGAAGGTGCGGCGCCGCGACCGACTGAGCCACTCGGACGAAGCTCGATGGCGTACATAAGCCCGATGGCGTACATAAAAGATAGCTACTATTGATAGCTGCTTAGCATTGAGAGCTGTTATTTAGCTTATCCATCTTTCTGTCCTCATTTTTCAAAACCGAAATTCTTTGACCGTATTTAAAATTGTCTAGTCATGCATTGAAAGAAACCAAAAATTGAAACACTTAATGGGTCTGCTTCATCGTTTATCCTATAGAATCCTTCTTCCGAGAAACCCGATATATTGAAAAGATATGAGCCAATACAGTTTCCGGCCGTTCTTTCTCCTTTTTTTCCTTTCTTCCTTTCCCGCCAAGGACGCCCTTTATTGTCTCTGGAGGTAAAAAAGGAAAGAAGAAGAAAAAGAAAGAGATAGGTCGCGGAGACGGATTATTAGGTGGCAAAAGGAACGATGAAGAGGTGCTTAAATACAAATCTAAGGCTACCTGATTGACCGATGTACAGCGAAGAAAAGATGAGGTTGAACCATGGGCCAGAATGAAATGGAAAACGATTAAAAGGATTGAGAGAGTGTGTGAGGTGGGTACTGTTGAATTGACATAGAGAAAGTGAGACCAACAACAAAATTTGCATAGATCAACGATACAGAAATTTTCGGTGAATTGACGTCAAGATAAAATGAGGATTAAGAAAACAGAATAACAGGTAATATGAAAGAGAACTGCAAAAAAAAGAGAGTTAAATCGAGAATAACCGTTTTTTTTTTTGATTTCAGATTGCTGATCAGAAATCCATTCAAATGAATGGTGAGTAATCCCAATCGTTCTGAAAAACAAGACCTCTGCGAGAATGAACATTTCTAATAACCAGTTACAAATATTTTTCAAAAAATTCGAAACAACGGAAGTTTCAAGACCATAGTTTGAAAACTAGTCTGGTCATAATAAAACGCAGACATTAAAAAAAAAACAAAAATTCGGGGCCACTTCGGAAAAAAGTCACAAAATCCCAAATCACACAAAATTTGTCATATTCAAAAGTCACAAATAATTTAAAGGTGCTTTTCCTTGACTCTCAGTCGACTCCGAGTTGCTAGGATGCTGAACACAAAGGGGGGAGGTGGATAGAGCAATAAACACAAAGAAGAGCAAAAAAGAACGAATACACTACAATGACATATAAATTATTTTCAAAAATTAGTTAGTGTCTTTTGTTAAAGATATCAAATCAGAGAAGTTAGGGAAGTCAGGTGGAGCATCTTTGCGGGAGCTTCCACAAAAAAGAGAAAGAGCAACACTTGGTTTATTTGTCTTTTGAGGATGCCCTCGTTTTGCCTTCATCTTTCTTTCGACTGGCGGGAGTATAAGGAGCAGAAGAGTGGAAATGAGAGGGTGGAGCACCAGGTACGGGCGGAGCACTGGTAACTTGTAAGACTTTGGTCGCAATTAGAAGAGAGAAATGCCGTTTTTAACGTACACCGCAAATACAAAAATCGATTCAGAAAGTGTAGGGTTTGTTCGACGACATAATGGATTTTGGAAAAATGAACCCGTCAAGATGAATTGGTACTGGAAACGTTGTTAAACTGGTACAGAAATATCGAAGCTGTGGAAAAGAAACGCCGGTGGCGGTGGCCGAAGGTCCCACAACGACAACTACAGTAACCGTTTTTATTTTCATGTTTTTATTTTCAGGAGTTATTTTCTCGTTTTTTCACCGATTTTTTTCTGTTATTTATCTCGGGAGGTTTTCTGAATATTTTTTGAGTTTCTCGTTTTTGATAGCCTTATGCCTCACCTAAAAACTTTAAAATGCTGTAAACGTCGTTTTCAAAGTAAACGGTTCCTATTTTATTTGGATTTTCAGATTCTCCAAAATATAAAAATGTAAACTCCTTCCAAATCCCTGTTCCAAAAATGGCAAGTTGAAACAGAGAGACTCTAAAATAGATCAATCCTTCCGTGTCTTTTTTCCCAAACCAGGACGATTGAGCAAATAAAAAGGTCAACCACAGCCGGGAACTGTTGCATAGAATCAAAGGAAGTCTCAAACATATTCTTATCTGTTTATCACTCGGTTACTCTTATAGATAGTACTTCAGAATGTAGGTAAAAATAGGCTGATAAGAAGAAGTGAGCAAACTGTTTCCCGCAATTATATGTTTACACGGATACCAGTTCGTAGTGCGTGTAAATAGCTTCATGTAGTGTCTGTGTGCATCTCATGGAGGTCAACTTTGTAGTAGGACTTTATAAAAATATTTGAAAGGGAGATATATAACTACAGTAGTCCTAAAGATACTAAAAGGGACTGACGTGGATATGTGGACTCTGACTGTCCGTCGCGATCTGCCCAACTTTTTTGTGGATAAGGAAAAGTTTACCTAAAAGTTGAGGTTTGTTTGTATCTCACAATAACGATGATGTAATGAAAGATACATCGGTTTCAAAAAGATTTTGGAAATTCGTAAAATGGAACAAATGATTCAGTAGCTAGCAGGTGTTTATAACTGAGAAAATAAAAACAGCAGATGATATTCGATATCAGAATATTTTTTTTGAATTACGTTATATAGAAAAATTTAACACTTTTCTCTAACAGATTTTTCGAAACCTGTAGTAGAAGGGCCTCCAAACTTTTAACTTTGAGCCAATTCATCTCGGTAACTGTTAAAGATATAAGAAAAGTTGACAACTGATAAATTGTTTATCATTTTATTTAAATCATGTTTGTAGTCGACCGATTTTTGATGTCCTGCATAGGAGCCAAAAAAAATTAGCTCAAACTTGATAATTTGTTTTTTAAATTTATTGAAATCCAAACACCCAAAACTAGAAAAAAAAAGAAAAATAAAAAAGAGTGATGACTGAGAAAGAGTTTCATTTTGCCTTAAACCATAAAAAGTCACAATCCGTTTGCCAACCACTTTCTTTCTTCTGTCCATTTCCTCATTCTTTGACGCTCTCGGATCTATTGAAATTCCCGAAACGTAGACAAAAAGCGTACTGTAAACGATGGAAACGGCAGAAAAAGTTGGCGGAAAGGGCCGATTTACGAACGAGTACAAAAGTAAATAAAATGTCAAAGGTTAGGTTGGCACCCGCTTCGGGAGCAATTGGAAGGAGAGGGAGAGAGATCCTGGGTTATATTTGACTACAGGCACACCAACTACGCTGGAAACACAAAAAACAGAGATGAAAAAGAAAAGAGTGGGTCACAATTCAATATTAGACTTCTTCCCGATGTTGTTGAACATTTTCAAAAACTGAAACGAACAGTCGAATGATGAAAAATATGAGAAATAGGGAAAAAAGAAAGAGGGAAAATGATTACAAAATGATTGATAGATTGAAAAAATGGTTTGATTATCTGAAAACTGTCAGAATCATGATTCATCAATTATACACTGAAATTATGAGCATTTTGTTTTTACCCGGAAACTTCGTCTATTCCCTGTACCGTATACCTTCCTACTCTCATATTATTGTTGTACAAAAAATCAGAGCTGTGGAAGAGAAACTCCGGTGACCGTGGCCGAATGTCTCAAAACGGCGACTACCATAACCTAAAAATAATTGAATTTTCCGGATTTATTAACTCGATTTTCATTTTTTCGGTCAATTTTTTAACTATTAAGGAATTTTCTTTTCCGACTTGTTTGGGGAAAATAACAGGAAACAAAATCAGGGAAAACCCAGAAAAAAATCAGGGACATTCAATTATTTTTAGGTTACGGCAGTTGTCGTTGTCGGACCTGCGGCCACGGTCACCGGCGTTTTTCTTCAACAGCTCCGGTTTTTTGCACCAGAATAATACGAAGTTCAACAATACTGTAACCTTTCAGAATAAACATTTGATATTGGCTTTCAGATTTTCTTCGATAGTTGTAACGGTATCGCTTATTCCTGTTGCAATTTATATGCTTTCACTAATTTGTAACAGTTCAGAAAGCATTCAGTTTAAGCAGACAGAATATTAAACCATTAAATGGCATAATATCTAAGTAATGAGATATCGAATCTCACTACTTTGTTTGTGTTATTATTCGTTCTTACAGAAGCAAATGGAACCCATCAATTTTTTCATTTCAGGCAAACCTAATGGGGTTATTCACCAACATGTAGAAAAATTCGGAGAAATGGAGAAAATTCCGCGAAACCGCGGAGAATGAACCAATATAGCTGAAATTTCGGAGAAAATCGGAGAAAATTATAGAGAGCATATTCACAAAATTTGGGGTCGCAAAATTAATTTTGAAATTTTGGCTAGAATTTCAGACA